GTTGGATCTCATTACTAATGCCCATGTCAAGCCACCACGATGCTGTGTACAACAGAAACTATGCAACTTAGTAACGAACTGTGTGGGCAGCAATCAAAAGCAACATCCACCAACGTGAGTGCACGTAAGTGGTACCCATCTGTAGGGATAAAAAATAGCATGACTTCTAAAATGAGAGGAGTTGTTGGGTTGGCACTTAGGACGTTGGTATATTTGCCAGTAGACGTGCAGAAATGAGATGTTTGGTTCAAACGTAATGACCCTTTGCCCTTCTGGGAACTTCACCGACTTTGGAAAAGCCCCGTGTAGGGAAGTGATTGTTCTGAAACCCTGGGCTGTGTTCATTGAGAGGCTGATGAGAGCCAGAGGAAGAATTTACCAACCTCCCTGCTAATCTGGCTCCCAGTGCCATGCATTAAGCCAACTAGTAAAAATCATTATGAAGTTTTTGCTGAAAGGGCAAGTGTAGAAAAACATGTTTCTAAACAGAATAACAGTCTTTGCCATTTTTTTCCAACTTGCATACCATCTGGAAATTCTGATTTTTTTTCAAAGGGTAGGGAAGAAATGTGCTCCAGGCACAAATAAATGTTTACAGCTGAGTTATAAACCGAGAATGGTAGGGCTTAAAACAGACAGGCTGGCAGTCATGGAGCTCAACTGCAGTAAGACAAGTCATGTGGTAGGGAGGAGGTCAGCCTGGTTTATACATGGGTCTTCTGGACTGGGAAGTCCTGCTTCCCACTGACCTCATCAAGCAAATGTTTAGGCAGAAATCCTCATCTCGCGTCTGTTTTAATTCTGAGAAGGTAAAGGACAAGGGTGAAGCAGATTATGATCTGTCTTGACATTCTGAAGGCAGAGTTCACCTTTGGAAAGCACAGCATCTCAGAAGAAGTGGCAGCCTGTGGACACTCATTAAATGGAACAGCTGAGAGATGTCATGATGACATCAGAGACAACAACCAAGACTCATGGATACCATAGGCAATGTTTTGCAAGGATTATCATTTATGCTGATTATTTAAGCTTATGAGGGAGTTCCATTTCACAGATGAGGAACTGGAGGCTGAGAGAGGATAAGTGACTGGCTTCCAATCACACAGTTGCCTAGTAACGGAGCTGGGTTTTTGTATCTAGCCAGACCAGCTCCAAAATTCCATATTATAGAGGATCTTTCAATGCAAAGTTACCAGGGATATATTGTAACCAGCACTTGGTCAAGAAGGAAAAACAGATGTATTGGGAATTTGGTCTTCTCTCTCTGGTCTCCTACAATTTGGGTAGTTATAAGGAAAAGTTCTAGAAAAGTAACAATGGGTTTGTGAGTCATATAGAGCAGTCATCAAACATTTTTTTCTGAAAAGAGCTAGATGGTAAATATTTTTGACTTTGTGGATCATACAGTTCCTTTTTCACCCACTCAACTCTGCCATTGTGTTCTGAAAGCAGCCGTAGACTGCTGTAAGAGAATAGTCATGGTTGTGCTCCAATAAAACTTTATTTACAACAACAGGCAGCTGGCCTGATCTGGTCCATGGGATGTAGTTTGCTGACCCCTGATATAGAGGCTAACTTGAGTTTAAAATGGTAATAGGTTTTGAGACTGAGCCATGCAGTTCTACTTGGAGCATATTCCTTCTTAAAATCGGTGCACGGATTGGGTACCTAGGAGGTGTGTTTTAAAAGCTCTGTCTATCCTGCCTCTGGGCCTACCCAATCAGACTGGATTCCCTTATATTATCTGACCAGGTCAGAATACTATATTGAATCTTCGTTCTCAAGGTTTCCCTAATCCCATATGTATAGAAAAAGTGCTGCATGCCCTTGTAATGAAGATGTATGAGTTCATTCCTTTTAACATAGAAATACACACGAGATGGTGAGTGATTCTGGCAGTCTGTGTGTTCCCTCTTCTTGATGTGAAACCCAACAACTATCCACACTGAGATTTAATTGAAGGAGAGCAGAGAAAAAATAAACCACGAACGACAACGATTGGAAAAGGGAAAGGAAGACAAAGCCCAAAGAACATACTCTCCCAACTAATTAATCAAGTGCTTTGTTTCCACTAACATATCAGAGTGTGTAGGCTGCCCTGTCTATTAGACTTGTTTCCCAACCTGAAGAATGTAAATACTCCTAAAGACCAGGTAATGAAATCTCCATCGATGTGCCATCTTGGATGGGACTCACATGCCTGTGTTTTGCTTACATTTTAATTTGCTCCTGCTTGATACTTACCCAGTAATTGCTTAATAAGATTAACCTCCTTGGCAATGTGTGGTGTGTCCTGATTAAAACATTATTGGAGTGAAGGATTATCGTATACCGAAAAAAAATGGAGGGGTGTTATTTAATTAACTTATTGCCAATATATCTTGATTGCCTCTTTGAAACACTGGAAAAGTAGTCGATTGGGATTGATCTAGGTTATCTAAATGTATAGAATTGGGGAATGGGAAGCAGGAAGGTCACCGGGTATAGAAATTCGAACCTAAGGTAACCTAAGGTCACTTTCAATAAAAGCGTGGGCATAAGTAAGAAAATGAAAAACTTGCTAGTTATTTTATAAGCCAAACTTTAAAGTAACTTAAGAAGAGATCTGATGTCTTCAGTCATCAGAAGAGTACTGTCTTGGTGCTCAGAAAGAAAGTATTTGGAGTTTTATTTCATCTTTAAGCAATTTTAAATTCTCACACTTTCCCATAAGTATCCTATTGAAAAAATTTATTGGACAATGATTTGGCAAACATTTTGTCTGTCTCATAACTCAATTGGAAAATATCTGAACTGATGATGTTACACGACTTACACAACATTTTCAAAAGCATGTTTCACACGAGAGGAAAAATTCTGGTCTTTCCAAATACGCAATGGAAAGTGTTTCTTCATTTGTTAATTTAGAGACACATACTCATAGGACTTGTTTTCTGAGGGGACTTTTATTTTGCTTTCTGGCGTGGAATGTGCAAGGGAGGTGAGTGTTTGGGGGAAGTGGACTGAATCTCAGATGGGAGAAGTGGCTGGTTACAATTCGTGGAGGTCAGTGCAGATCCATGACCCCCATTTATGAAGGATACTATTTAAAGAGCACTTGTACACAACTTCAGGATGTACACACACATAAAATATATCCCTGTGCCCCATGACAGTACAGGCATATTCACTCCCCATGTGTATTCTGCCCTCTTCTGTAGGAATAAGGTGCTGACTAGTAGATTAAAGGACATTAATAGATAAAATATGACAGAGATTCCCTACAGTTTCCAAGAGCAGCACTACTGTCATTTTGGACAGAGATAATTCTTCATCGCAAGGGGCTGTCCTGTGTGTGGTAGGTTGTTCAACATCTCTGACCTCCACCCACTAGATGTCAATCACGTCCCCTCTGATGGTAAAATCAAAAAAGCCTTCAGACATTGTGAAATGTCCCCCAAGGGGCAAAAATTCCCAGGCTGCCCTCAGGGAAACTGAAGGAGCAGATGGTGTCAAGTACAGCAGGTGGAGAGATTTCAAATCTAAGGCCAATACATTTGTCTCTGGGCTTTTTAGTCAGTTGAGGCAGAACATGGTCAGTTAAGGCAAGATATACTTTTCATTTTTAGGCCTAGTTTTACTTACCCGATAATGGAAAGCATGTAATTTCATCCTCAGATAAAAACTTTTTCATGCTTACTTAAAGGTAATTTAGTGTTATGATTATGACAGATAAGTAAAGCGATCCTTAAAGACTGATAAAAGACAAAAAAAGTCATACTCGAAGCATTAGGACAGCTCTGGGGAGGATAATTGAAGCAGCATTAGCATCTCAGGATGACTAATGTACACCTCTCAGGGCAGATGAATTCTGGAATCTTCTCTGTGGAAAATGACTGATCTAAGGAACACTCCAGGGTTCTTCCCAAAGATGCATAGGACACAGATCTGAGTTCACATTTGAACCTGCCTACTTGTTAAATTGTGGGGAAATTTCTACCACCTTCTGGGCCTCCGTTTCCCAGGAATAATTTTCCTTCCTTTAGAGCTGTTGAAATCACACAATACTAAGCCTGGCACACAACAGGTGCCTAATAGATGCTACTTCCTTTTCCTTCTTTGAAATATCCCTCTGGAGTCGTTTAAGAAATGTCGGGGTGAACTGGCTATATATGCTAAGAAGTAGAGTGGACAACCGTGTGTTTGGAGAAAGCTTTTGATATAATCTCTCCCGTTTGCAATTTCCAACCCAAATTAAGCATAGCCCACCACACGCCAGTCTGGAGAACCGTGCCATTGGCTGCTCTCGTGTTTCAAAGGCTTCAGGTACCCACCTCCCCATGATTCTGTTTTCCCTCCTTCTTCCTAGCACCTTGTTAGCACTTTTTTTCCTCTGCAAGAATACAGTTGCCTGATTGCTTCAATAAACATGTCTATTGTCCCCTTCACTGTTCTGAGAAGAGAAGCTTTGTTGCCGAGTCGTCAAAACTCCTTTCTCTTCTCCCCCAAAGCAGAACAGCTCCAAGCCTTTCTCTTTCATGCCTAGCCAGGCGCTTCCTCTCCAGGGAGGCTGCATCTCTCATCCAGGGAGAGGGACCCAGTCTCATGGCATGTACTGCCGGCTGCTCTCTGCCTTCTGATTAGACAGGACTTTCTCCGGCTGCTGCTGCTGCTGCCACTCCAGCTGCTGCTGTTGCTGCCGTGGCTGCCTCTTCTGCCCAGGCCTTGGGAGGCTTTCAAGTAGCTCCCGCCTGTGCCAGTCGCTGCAGAGAGCATAGGTATGCACATTGCTCAGGGCGGACACCGTGCCAGCTCCGAGCGATCCAGCCAAAACGCAGCTAACGGACAGGAACAGCAAACAGCTTTTCACGGGGGCACCTATGAAAGGCAACGCTTTTTCTTCCCCTTTCTTCTCCTTTTTGCATCCCTTCCAAGACTTGGATTAGAAGACCTGGACCCGCTGGCGAGGGCTCTGAATTTCCCTGTGACCTCAAGAGGGCAAGCAGCAGCTGTAACCTCACCTTTGCCTCCAGATGGCATTGTTGCCACATCATCGTTTCCTGGTAAGCCGGTCCTTATCCCATTGTTAAAGGTGTGTCCATCTGCCGGCTGGAGTTGCCAATTGAGTCCGAGCAGATGCATTGCTGCAGGAGAGACAAAGTAATGAAAATATGAATAGATAATTCAGCAATGCAAATGTCAAGGGGGAGGGCCAGGTGTCTTTTTTCCAAGCGATTGCCTTTTAAGGAAGCTGCCGTTCAAAAGTGGCTTGCCCCAGGCCGCAGGGATCCACTAATTACAGAAAGCATGTGGGTCTGGGGTGGAGGGTTGGGATAGGGCTGGTGAGGCCTCCTTTTCCCATGCTGTGGCTCACAGCTTTTTTTTTTTTTTTGAGTTGGAGTCTCACTCTGTCACCCAGACTGGAGTGCAGTGGCCGCTCCCGGTCACCGCAGCCTCGACCTGCTGGGCTCCGGTGATCCTTCCGCCTCAGCCTTCCGAGTAGCTGGAACTACAGGTACGCGCTACCACACCCGGCTCATTTTTGATTTATTGTGGAGATGAGGTCTCGCCAAGTTGCCCAGGCAGGTCTCGAACCCGTGGGATCAGGCAATCCACTCACAGCCTCCCAAAGGCGCGGGATTACAGGCTGAGCCACCGTGCCCGGCTGGCTCACAGCTTTCTAGAGGGCAGAAGAGGGAGGAGAAAACATAGCCCAAGTCTTCCAAATGGTGCCACCACGGAGGGAAAAGTAACCCTCTGGAGTCACAGTCAAGGTATTTGTCTATCACATCCATCCTTTCCCACACTCTGGACTCAGTTGCTTTTAGACTGCTAGTCCATGGCCGTTGACAAGAAGGGCTTTCGCCAAACTAGAACTCAAAACGCAAATCGGCTTCAAAGGAGGCTACCCAAGTGGCGCCTGCCTGCTAGTCTCCTATACCCGCTCTAAAATATCAGTGCACCTGGAAGTTTCTGCAGTAGCATTCGCCCATTTAAAAGCCCACCTCCCTATTTCACACTTTAAAGATATTTTTCCTTTCCACCCCTCTTTGTGATAAGTAGATACTTTGCAGCACATTATGGAAAAAGCCCAGGGAAGTGATGGTGGTGAAATGAGGTCTTTTCCTGAAAATATTACTATTCCTTCTCTGTCTCTCACTGTGCTAGAGTATGGAATGAGATAGAGTTCTGAAGCAGTGTCTCTTCTCCGCTAAGGAAACAACATGTCTGTAGAAGTTACTGTCATGTGCACCTCAAACTTCCAGACAAACTTCTGGTCTTGTCATACTGACTAAGCCAACTCCCCATAATGAGTTTAGTAAAATCAGTACCGTCCCCTCCCGGTGGTTCTTGGCGAGTTGTTTTATAAGCGGAATGAAAGGCAAACCCCAAACTCCTGTATTCTTTCAAAACCCTTTGCCAAGAAACGCTTCATTTGCAAATAAATAAGGAATGCATCTCCCTGCAAGCTACTCATCCAAACAATACTGGCGCCATGTTTGGCATTTCACCTGGACACTGGTTGACACTGTTGCTACGTTGCTAGCACTGTGGGAGAGGAGGGTCTCTTGACAGGGAAAGGTTTGGAGTTTGATGCCGGGATGGGAAAAACAATTAACCACAGGAAACACAATTAACAATGCGTAGGAAATTGTTCACACAGCAATTAATTCTGCATGCCTACCACCACTTAAAGTCAGGCATTCTATTAAGGTTAAAAACCCATCTTCAAACAATGCAGCTCGGATTGATGGCTGCAGATAAAGGTGGTGAGGTGTTCGTGTGTTTCTGCTTTTCTCTCACAGTGTTCTCCATCTCAGAGCCATGTTTTCTCTCTAGACATTACTCTGAAGGAAGAAGCCCACTGTTGTCACTTTTTGAGATGATAAATACTAATAAGAATAAATGACATTTACTGTACACTTTCCATCAAGGTAACACCTAATTTTCTCCTGCAGTTTATCCCTTATATGTAGGTCCCTTACTTGAAGGGACCAGATTCCATCACCTCAAATAATGACATATTTTCACTGTACAGAGGTCAAGAAAAGAGAACTAATCGTGGCAGCTTTGAGATAACAATAGCTTCTGATTTGTAATTACCAAGTGAAGGGAGCCAAGGAATTAGCTATTTTTAAATGGTTTTTAAAAAATGATACTATTGGGTTCTTGGGGCTTGCCCTGAGCCAGCTGCTACTACATTGGAGAAGTGGGTCTTTCGAGGAGGGTCTCTGTGTTTTAAGACAGACACTGACAGGTGCAGCTGGGGCTTAGGCCAAACAACTTGGATTTTCACATTTATGGAAGGAAGAGGTGGGTCCCATCAGGTAAAAATGACAACTTTTGCAACACTGCAGCCACATAAAAACTCTTATCAAAACTACTACACTGCTCCTATGGCACTCCATCTTGTCATTCTAAGGTGCAGACCATATCACGACCATCAGCTCTGGGAGAACAGCAAACAATCCCCTAACATTACTGAAGATATGAGGTCTGGCATTTAAGTTCACGAACTCATCCTAGAAAAAGTGCTACATACCTCATTGCTGAATATTACTAGTCACCTTCGAAGTGCTCCCCTTGGGCAGCTATGCACCGATGCTAGCGCCTAATCCACCTATCAAAAAATTTTGGAACTCTTTTTCTGGAATGGCTATTAGAGTTGTCATTGTAGTACCCTTGATGTCCTGAATGTCAGCAAAATGTCTTCCTTTCAATATTTTCTTTATCTTCAAATAAAGAAAAAAGTCTCTGGGGGCCAGATCAGGTGAGTAGGGAGGGTGTTCCAATACATTTATTTGTTTACCAACTAAAAACTCCCTCATGGACAGTGCTGTGTAAGCTGGTGCATTGTGATGCAAGAGCTCCTTTAAGACAATTTTTGCAAACATCTTTCTTATGTCAAGATTTTCAGCTCAGATTTTCCTAACCGTTTCTCTCTTGATGTTTATTTGGTCTGCGATGCTTCTCACAGTCAGTGATGGTTTTGACACACAATTCAACAATTTTTTGCAATGTTTTAATCAGTTCTGTTCGTTACTGGCTGTCCTGACCTCTCTTCATCAGTGACATTTTCTGTCCCCTCAGAAAAACATTTAATCCATTTGTACACTGCTGTTTTCTTCATGGCATTATCTTCATAAACTTGGACTAACGTGTCCCTGATTTCACTCCCACTCTTGCCAAGCTTAACAAGAAATTTAATGTTTGTTCTTTACTCTAATTCAAGCTCTGACATTCTCGCTATGATCGCTCTGATGGCCATTCCAGAAAAAGAGTTCCAAAACTGCTGTGACAGGTGGACTAGGTACTGGCATTGGTGCATAGCTTCCCGAGGGGAGTACTTCAGAGGTGACCATAGTGATATTAGGCAATGAGGTATGTAGCACTGTTTCTAGGATGAGTTTGTGAACTTAATTGTCAGACTTCATAAAAAGAACATTTATGCAACTGTGTTCTTTCTGTTTCCAAGGATGACTTCCCTCCTGCCCGCTGCCTACCCTACTTTTTTGGTGAGGGGTGGGGAGGGGAAAGTTCACAACATCTCTTTCTTTAAAAATAAGAAAATAAAATTACAGCTGAGGTAGAAAAGGTTAGGGTCAGGGTAGACCAGTAATGTCTCAGACAACTCCCAAAAGTGAAAAGAAAAATAAGAAAGTGAGATGGAGATAGGAGAAGGAAAAAAAGTCACATTCGCTGAGCCTAAGACCTGGCTTCCCAGCAGAATCAAGGCAACAAAAATGAAACTCAAGTTTGGGCATATTTTCTGTTGTTGAACTGAACGCTAAGTAAATAAGTGAGAATTATATCAGGGGTGTAGCCACCTTCTCTTGTTTTGGGGGGTTTTCTGAAATAGGTTTTCGTTGGCACCTTTTTTCTCGATTAGATATTCCTTCTCTCTCACTTGAGTAAGAAAATGAGACAATCTCTCTGGCCTGTGGGAGGGACACAAGTGTCCTTAGGATAAAGACCCGGGGGAGCTGTGGAGCCAATGAGTTTCCTGACTAATGAGAACCTATTTCTTATTCTGCTACTGATTTGCTCTATGACTTGGGCTGAGAAATCAGTCTCTCAATCAATCTCTCCCTTTACCTTTTGTAAAGGTTTCCCTGCACAGGTAGAAAAATGGCTCCACCTGGGCCAGAGAGAGGTGATGCATCTGCAACCCCCAAAAGATCTGACAGTGTGTCTTGAATATAAATGGCACTCCATCAGTGTTTTTCAGACTAGGTAATGGCATGTGAGGGCAGATTTGGGAGATTGGCTTGTAGGATGTTATAGACTTATACATTTTAAAAATACTCAATACAGAGATGTAGAGGATGGAATAAAACAGTGCTGGTAGTGATATGGACTAGTTTGCAAAGAGAAGACCTTTTTTTTTTCTTTTTTGAGGCAGGGACTTGCTCTTACTCTGTTGTCCAGACTGGAGCATGTGAGGTGACCATAGCTCACTGCACCCTTAAACTCCTGAGTTCAAGTGATCTTCTCACCTCAACCTCCCAAGTAGTTGGGATTACAGGTACATACCACCAGGCCTGGCTATTTTTTTTTTAAATTTTAAAAATTTTTTATTTTTTGTGGAAACAAGGTCTTACTATGTTGCCCAGGCTGGTCTGGAACTCCTGGCCTCAAGTGATCCTCTCACCGCAGGCTCCCAAAGCACCGAGGTCACACGTATGAACCACCGTGCCCTGCCAAGAAGTTTATTTTGATTATTATATACCTGCTGCCAATCATTGAAACTTTTCTATGGCTAAGTACTATAGTAGACATTCTACACTCATTATCTTAAGACTGACAGGTGAGTACTCCCATCATTCCCATTTTGCAGATGAGGAAACTGTTGACTGTGGAGTTTGATTACTGAGTGATTTCAGACTCAGAGGGAATTACAGTGGCAGGGGGTTATGCACTTTGTATTTCATAGTGATCTGGTTACAAGTTCTGAGGGCAATGTAGTCTCAGTGAGCCTTGTCTCTGGCTTAAAACTCATGATAATCTCACTGGGCTGCTCCCCTTCCAGAGGGGGCTTATATTCGCACTGTTGAATTCACACATACTTGGTCACACAGTCATCCTGGCTCTCGAGTGAGGATGACACGAGTTAGAGCCATGGCTGACCAGTGACAGAATACAG